AGAGAGCCTGGCAAGCTACCGAGAGTATCTCGCCTGCACAGCAAAGCCTGGCATGCTACGTGTGGCATATTCGATATGCCAAAAACAGTAATAAGTCTCATAATGGAGACGTTACTGGGCCTGCTTAAGCAAATCAATGAACAACAGGAGGACAGTGCTACAGTGCAGTGCTACTTTCCAGGATAGGCTAATATTTTAGCTGGACTGACAATTCTGTGATTATCTGGGATTTGTGATATCTACTTTAAATTTTGAAACTTCCCTACTTCGTTTCCTGAATGTTACTTGGCACAGTTTATAGTCTGAATTGGCTATATAATGTGAGAGACATGAAAAGACTTCACTAGCTTGAGCTCTTTCAAAGTCTTGAGTTATCTCAAAGTCAATATTTATTATTAAAACTTTGACAGTTCAGTCTCTAGATGAAATGTGTACTTGTGGGAATGAAAAATTGTTTTATGATCTCCCGATCTCTTAATGCTTACCTGCATTGTTATTCTTTTACTTTATTATGCCTTTTACTCTATTATACCTTTAAATAAAAATGTACATGAATATGTTCTGTGAATCCTCAAGATCTTTTCAAATATTGAAAACCTTGTGAAATCTTTGCAGATGGAAGGCATAGCATGATTGAAAAAGCATGTTTTGATATTATTTCTGAAATGGACTCTATTAATCTCATGTTTGATTAGATTGAATTTTTGAGTTAGATTGATGCGTGTGTCCAGTAAAGAGTCCAGTAAAGAGTAAACTTATTTTTCCAAATAAGGAGAGTATTAGACATAGATTTAGGTATAAGATAAGAAGAAAAGTATGAAAATAAACAGAAATAACAAGAAATAACAAATAACAAGCAGAAATAAACAAGTAGATATAGTTATATCCAAGAACATTCTCATTGACTATCAGTTTGACCAGTTATTGATCATGAATATCAGCTTACTCCTTAGTTTTGGGTTAGTAGTCTATTAACTGTGCGCCTTCCACTCCTTCAGGGTCTCTGTAGACCTCAGAATGACTAGTAGTTGAGACCTCAGCATTGTTTCCTTTCAAATTTTTCTGTTGGGTTGGAATGAAAAGACAATTTTGTAGAATTTAAATTAATAGATAAATATTCCAATGAGTGTGACCCATATCACCAGGTCAATTAACTGGAACATACCAGCAAAGAAACACAAAAATCTAATAATGTTTAGCCACTGTGAATATTGTGCTTTTTAGCAAGAAAATTGTTTAAATTATCCAGGAAGGAAACTCATCTCTCTTCTTGTCCCAAGACAGGGATTAAACCCAGGGCTTCATGCATGCATACAGTGTGTCACTGAGGCATGTCCTCAACCCTGAAATAGATTATTTAAACTAGTACATATTTGTAAACTCTATAGGAGAACATCTGTTTACCATCTCTTTGAAATTACCCATAGGATCCTTTTACAGTTGTTTCAATTAATGCCCATCTTTTCAAGCTTTCCAGATCATTTTACTTGCCAATGAAGCAGAAACTGACCAAATATCCTATCTTGAAAATGATATCCCATTAGTGTTAAATTTTGTGGTCAATTCTAGATGAGTTCTTTTTAAAGTCAGTATTCTAGCCAGAAAAAATTGAATTTTATGATTGATTGAGATCCTGTGTTTCACAATACTATTAATAATGGTTTCTCATGGATATAATGCTTACGTTATGCCCATCACCAGCGTGTATATTTTGTCCATAGGAATTTTCAGGTAAAAACTAGGTTCTTGTATAATGTAATAAATTATATATTATACGTAGTGTAGGATTTAACATCTAGAGCAGTTATAATTTGACCATTTGTAGTAACTGTAGTATATTTTGTCTGGAAGTAGGTCCAAATATTAAATGTGTTGGGTTTGTGTCACAGAGAATAATGTGTCCTCTACTAATAACATCAAAGATACAGTTGTATAATAGGTAAAGGTAAAGGTAAAGGCCCTCCCGTTGATCGTCGATTTGCTCGAGCGGGCCCAGTAACGTCTCCATTGGAGACTTTGTTGTTACTGTGTTTGGCATATCGAATACTCTTGGTAGCTTGCTGGGCTCTCCGAGAGGGGCGGAGGAATCGAACTCAGGTCGGCCATGTTGGCCGCTTATAAGGCGAACGCCCTACCGCTGTGCACCAATATTTAAGTGGTTATGTTAAACCAAGGTAGCTGATATTCTATTAATAGTGACATTAGTGATATTCTAATAATGATGACACAAAGGAATCCAGATCACTAAATAAGAATTGACTATGTTAGGAGTTTTGAGGAAGGACATGAAACTCATTCTATTATCTTTCATGAAATTCAGTCATTAGGTAGATTATGAGTGATTATGACTTTCAGCTAACAGAACACTATTTCTTTAAATTACACTTTAGTTTGAATATCAATGGTTTCGTTGAATTAAGTTTTTTAATAGTAGTATATAAAATAAAACTCACTTTAATTGTTTTATCAAATATTTATAATTATTTTGATACTTAGCTTAATCCACATTTTTGGTTTTCTAGTTTATGAGGCACATCCAGCGATGTTCAGGGGTTAATTCTGGCTGTGCTCTCAGGAATCACTCTTGACCAGGCTTGGGGGTTCATATGGGATGCCAGTGAACGAACCTGGCCATATGCAAGGCAAGCACCCTTTCCACTGTGCTGTCAGTTGGGCCAGTTTATTCACATTTTACTTGATTTGAAAATGTTATGTAACATGTTGAATATTTTCTAATCTGATAATTTTATGCCTCAATATTTTTCCTGTTTGATTCCCTAATTCAAGTCTCAACCTATTTATGGAAGATACAGTTGTAATTATTTAAAGGTTTCCTAAAGTTCTATCTTTCATGTTTACTTTGCTTACAATTTTGAATTTATTATTAGAAAAACTTCTGAAATTGCTCTACATAATGCATTGTCTATTTTTATTTTAAAAATTCATATCATAGTTATTTAAATCTCTTTTATAATCTTCTGTTTAATGTCTACCATAAAACTAACAATTTCATTAATTAGTACATATCTCTAGTACAAGACAGTATCTAATAAAAGTTTGAAATCTGCAGAAAATATTTGGCTTGTATCTCTGAAGTTTAGAAAACATCCTTAATTATAGCTCTTATTTTGACTCTAGATCAAGATTTTGGTTCAATTTCCATGAAAATGTTAAACGTAATCTAAAAATTTAAATGTGTCATTATTTTCTAATGAAAACACTTGATGGACTAGAGTTTATAAAATCACACAAAGTTTCATATAAGAGGAGAAGTGCCAGATGTTGCTTTCAAATTACAAAGCTTCTAACAATGACAACAAAATTTGAATTTTATTTAGCAAATCCATGTTTATAAAAGGAGTCGTGTATCTCTTGACTTATTGAGTCCCTCTTAAATATTTAATTTTTTGATATCGCCATATAAAAAGCCCCATTGTGTTTTTAGTCTTTCTGTGTCTACCTGGCTATCATTTATTGTATAATTTTCTCTTTTCTAACATTTTTAAGGAAATAAGATTGAAGATGAAAATGTAGCTTTTTTTTTTACAAGTATCCATTCTTCCAGGAAGAAACTGAGACATAGACAAATCCGTGAAGAAAAATGGGGTGGTTATCAAATGCATCATCTGACATTGGTTGGTTGGCATGCAAAATCATGTTCATTGAGCTGTTGTTGATTACACAGTTTTAAAACAGATTCCGGTGGTTCCTCGTAACCATGGTTACAGAAAGAAAAATGAGCCTTTTCCTAAATTTATGGAAATATTTTTATTTTCACATTTTGAGAAATTCTGATCCAGACCAAACACAAAAGCCCAAAAAGTGGTTGCCTCCAGCATCTGAAAATGTTTTCTTTTCTCTTTGAAATATAAAACAGATTTTATTCTTCACCTTGAGAGCAAGATAATCCAGACATTAGAAATAAAGCATTTTATTTCATTTCCTAGATGGGTAGAAGATTTCCTTCTTTCTTTGTGGGCTATTAGAGGCTCTTTGAAGGGCCTTTGAGGCATCATATAACATTTCAACATTTGATATGTATTACATACATGTGTACTATAGACAATTCATATTACTTCATGCACAGCATACATCCCTTGATGTATAAAATGTCACTGTCACTGTCCTGTTCATTGATTTGCTCGAGCGGGCACCAGTAATGTCTCGCAAATTGTGAGACTTGTTGTTACTGTTTTTGGCATATCGCATATGTCACGGGTAGCTTGCCAGGCTTTGCTATGCGTGCTAGATACTCTCAGTAGCTTGCCAGGCTCTCTGAGAGGGGTGGAGAAATCGAACCCAGGTTGGCTGCGTACAAGACAAACACCCTACCTGCTGTGCTATCGCTCCAGCCCAATGCATAAATTAACATGAATAATATTATCCATGGAAAAGAGGAAATAAAGATTAGAATTTAAATGAAATTGATGTTTTCATTGTTGAAAAAATATTTTACTATCAACTAGACTTGCCTCAAGTATTGCAAATAGGGGGTCAAAAAATAGTCCAGCAGATACAGCACCTGCAGTTCATCTCTTCAAATGGTCTCTTGAGCCCCATCAAAAGTAATTCTTGAGCACAGAACCAGAAGCATAGCCAGGTATGGGCCCCAAACAGAACAAAACAGACAATATCAAAATAAAAAACAAGTGACATTAATTCACATTCCATCCCATTATCAACAGTTTATCTACATTGTAAAATATGCATTTTAGTAACCATTTTCTTTCTGTTCTGTGGAAGATATAATTTCAACCACAGAGTTGCATCCATTTATATTATTGTACTCCAATAAAAGATTATTTTATAGGCAAGTATAAGTCTTTATTTTATCAGTCTTATTTTGAGCTTAGGTTTATGAAATAGCTGTACAATAGGGAAGGATTTTTTAAAAGCATTAAACTAGACAATGCAAGCGTTGTCCCTGGTAACAAGTGAGCACTGTTATGATTGATCTCTATGAATCTTGGCTTGCCTTTACAACTTCTTTTCTGTCACAGGCTGTGAACCCATTCCTGTGCGCTACCTTGAATGGAGTAATATAGAATCCATCATAGCCATCGCCTTTTCCTGCCTGGGGATCCTTGTGACCTTGTTTGTCACCCTTATCTTTGTGCTCTACCGGGACACACCAGTGGTCAAATCCTCCAGCCGGGAGCTCTGCTACATTATCCTAGCAGGGATCTTCCTTGGTTACGTGTGCCCGTTCACGCTTATTGCGAAACCCACCACCACGTCATGCTACCTCCAGCGCCTCCTGGTTGGCCTCTCCTCTGCCATGTGCTACTCTGCTTTAGTCACCAAAACCAATCGCATCGCCCGCATCTTAGCCGGCAGCAAGAAGAAGATCTGTACCCGCAAACCCAGGTTCATGAGCGCCTGGGCCCAAGTGATTATTGCCTCGATTCTGATTAGCGTGCAGTTAACTCTGGTGGTGACGCTGATCATCATGGAGCCCCCCATGCCCATTCTGTCTTACCCAAGTATCAAGGAAGTCTACCTGATCTGTAATACCAGCAACCTGGGGGTGGTGGCCCCAGTGGGCTACAATGGACTCCTCATCATGAGCTGTACCTACTATGCCTTCAAGACACGCAATGTGCCCGCCAACTTCAATGAGGCCAAATACATCGCCTTTACCATGTACACCACCTGCATCATCTGGTTGGCGTTTGTGCCGATCTACTTTGGGAGCAACTACAAGATCATCACTACCTGCTTTGCTGTGAGCCTCAGTGTGACGGTGGCCCTGGGGTGCATGTTCACCCCCAAGATGTACATCATCATTGCCAAGCCGGAGAGGAACGTCCGCAGTGCCTTCACCACCTCTGATGTCGTCCGCATGCACGTTGGTGATGGCAAGCTGCCCTGCCGCTCCAATACTTTCCTCAACATTTTCCGAAGAAAGAAACCAGGGGCAGGGAATGCCAAGTGAGTTATCTGAACCAGTTTGCCTCTCCTTCTCTCTCTCTCCCTCTCTCTCTCTCCCATTTCCCTCTCTTTCTCCCTCTCCCTCGCCCTCTCCCTCCCTGTCCCTCTCCCTCTCATCCCTCCCTCCCCCCACTCTCACTCTCTCTCCTCCCTCTCTCTTTCCCTCATTTTTCCAATTCTCACATTGTTACTAAACATCTCTCTTTGAAAAAGCATGAAACCACCTGGTCACATCCTCTTACCTTGATGTCTCTGTCCTGTTCTTGCTGTGTTTTCTTTCATGTGCTTTTTCTCGCTCTATGTAGCATCTCTGGAGTCTGGGTCATAGACGCCCACTCTGATTCTCATTTCTAACATACACTGTGGTTGACAGTAGTTTCTGATTCATATTTGATTTCTCACTCTGGTGGCAGCATTAATAATCTGATGGAAAGAAAATAAGCATCTATGAAATTGGACCATTTCTAAGTTTTATTGCCATTAAGTCCCCCATATGTCCTATTTCCTTCAGCAACTACTCTACCATGAAACTCTTGTTATTGAACTTTAGATCTATGTTGTAATTCCAAAATGTTTCACATGAATTGAACTCTATCTCCTGCAAGGTCATGAGCAGAAATTTTACATTCATAAAGCACTTAGAGAAATAAGGGTGAGGGTCACAGTGACAGTACAAGGTTAAGGTGCCATGTGACATGCGTCTGAGGCATAACACTGATTTGCATCCCAGCACAGCAAATGTTCCTGGAGCAATGCTCAAAATGGTTCCTGAAAATCTCCATGTATGGTCTCTGACCATAGGACCAAGAGTGGCTCCTGAGTACTGCCAAGTATGATCTTCCTAGAAAGTAAGGAAGAAAGGAATGGAGAAAGGGCAGAAAAAGAGGAAGGAAAGAGGGAGGAAAGGAGGGCAGGAAGGGAGGGAGAGAGGAAGGAGGGAGGGAGGCAGGGAGGCAGGGAGAAGGGAAGGAAGATACAAATGATGTCTCAAACTGGAGTTAGAATTAACACCAAGGTCTACATGAATGCAATTCTGCTCATCCTTCCAACTACTACTAGATAGTGTCTTACCCTTTCCTCATGCTGTTTTATAAAGAAGCATATCTTGAAATTTGCATGTGTCATCTCTTTCTGAATGAATTTTTATGTAGCATTCACAGTTTTGAAAATGATGTGGATGCTTAAGTCTCTAAAGGTAGTTGAATTATCCAAAAGAAAGAAGTTTTTCTGCATCAGCATTAATTTTACTTTTAAGACACTCCTTTAATGAGAATAACTTTAATCCTATTAATTATGGCATGTGAATTTTTATCACTGATGTATCCACCTGAACAAATCCAAAGGTTACAGAGATGTATGTTATTTCCTTTATTTTGTATACATGGAAATAAAACCTCTGTGAATATAGATGACTTAAGAACAGTTTCTACATAATTAATCACTCTTTGTCTTAACTAACCAAGGTCTTATTTGACATAACATTTCTCATTTTTACACATGTCAGAAAATTTACTTGCTTCTGGAACTGGTGTGATAGTAAGCAGGAAGGGTGCTTGCTTTGCATGTGGCTGACGAGGGTACCTTTACTTGTATAAAGTATCATGAAAATATATTTTAATATTTGGGGATGCAAGTTGGCTATACTCAGTAGTGTTCAAGTTATATTCATGACTCTGTGTTCTGGAGTGATCCTTGAACATACTTGGGGTACCATATGTGGGTGCCAGGGATTGAACTGTGGTTGGCTGCATGCAAGGCAAACACTTTATTCTCTGTACTACCTCTTTGATCTCAGTATTTTACAGAAATAATTTGTAATATAATTAGTTTAAATATAAGATCAAGAAATATATTGGGAAATACATTTTGAGTCCAGGAAAATATCATGGCAAATAAAGACATTTCTAAGATTTTTAGCAAAATAAATAAGCCAACAATTTATGCCCACTTCTTGCTGTATAATTTTTTACATTCCTCATAAAATGCTGATCATAAAATTTGCTTATCATTTTTCCTCTTATGATGAATTTTCAAGATCACAAATTCCCCTCAATATTTTCCCTGGTGGGAAATTATCAACAAGCATGAAAATATAACAGCAGAGTCATGAGATATAATTTTTAAAAAATAGACATAACCACAGAGTCCAGAAGAAAAGGCACTCTGACATTTTCATTAAGAGGGAAGGAGTTCAAAGAAAATGCAATGAAAAGAAAGGAAAAACAAACTCTAAACATAAATGTTTGGAGAAATAAAACCATTTTTCTTTCTCACATCCCATGGGGCTTTATAAGAGTCCTTTGTACTACTCACCATTATTCAGCGCTGTGTTTTTAACTTTTCTGCCTTTTTGATGGTTTTAGCAACAAATATTCCTGGTCCTGGTCATTTATGAAAGATGTGCTTCTGTTCTTACATGAGAAGGGAGAAGCTATGTAACAAGAATTGTTTGTACCCAGGAATGTGCATTAAAAAATTTTTTTAAGGATTCTGTGTACAGACAGATCTGGACATTTGTTCAAGAGAACAAAAACTAAGGAATAAGTTGCACATGGCTGCTGTGGTTAGCTGATGCTGCTTTAATAATTCTTAGCACATCTGTGGCTGTCAGACAGTGTAGTGCATTTGGATCATCTCTTGCCTGAAAATGCTGTCCTCATAAACTGAGACTATTCCCTTTACTCTTATATGTTTAGAAATTAATTTTGTTTTGGATTATGATTTTGATGGAGAATCAACTTGATCTAAACTGAATTGGTTGTGAGGAAGTGCTGGTGGTTTCTCCAACTGATGCATATTTAACCATAATATATAATTTACCAACTACAATCAGATTATTACAGCGGGAAATGTATTTCTAATTCATTACCATGATGCATTTTTCTTAGTATGCCTTATACCTTCTCTAAGGCACATGCTATAACTGGGATGTTCCACAGAAGGTATTTTAAGGCTAAACTTCTATAGATAGCAACCATTTATTTATGTTTTCTCATTTATTCTTCTATTGCTTTTCTTGTAACTCTATAAAACTGTAATTTTAATATACAATGGTAATCTTGGTGCCTATGTTTTTACCTTTTAATTTATGTTTTCTGCTTTTTTTCTGGATTGTATCCAAAGTTTCAGGCCCCACAAAGAATCTAATATTTCTACAGAAACAACAAAAATGTAACAAAGTTTTGCCAACTGAAAACTCTGGAGAACATGTCACCCAATGAGTTTGTTACCAGCCTGAATGTATAATTCCTACATTAATGGTGCACTTAGGGCATTCAGCAATCAGCATATGTAGCTATAAACACGGAACAGATGCTGTAATGACGAGCTTCCAACTGGTCTATCTGTTTGAATATTATCATGAAGAGTTGTAAGTTCAACTATGTTCTAGTATATGACTTTCTGAGAATATGGGAGGTATGATGTATATTTTTGCAAAGTTTGATTCAACTTTTTACTTTATTCATAGCCAAATATCTGACAAAGCCATAGGTTAGAATACATGGTTTATGTCTTAGGAGATCTTTTTAGGAAGATATTAAGCAATAAATTACGTGTTTGGATTATCAAAGTTACTCATAGGTAAAAGTTCTTTTAACCACAATCTTACTCTTGAAGAAAAACTTTATAATATAATTACCTTTGATATGTCTAATGGTTTTTGGCTAATAACTTGGCATATTAAAATAGGAAAAATACATAATCCTAATCTAATACAAACATATTGGTAAATTCTTTTTATTAGTAAATAAGAGAAGAAACAGAGAACCACATTCTTAAAGGAATAAACTATTTAGAACCACGTTACTCATCACATTGCTTTAAAGCAAAATGAGATATCGTAATGCAAATGAAAAATTAAAACATTATGTAAATTACATGCCTTCTTTAAAAAATAATCACTTCTATGACTCAATGTGAAACTAGCATTTCTAATTACTTTTAAGATAAATAGCCTCAGTAGATACCAAATAATGTGACTCCTGGAGCTAACATGTGACAATACATGTAACAAAACACTCTTTTTTTAAATGGGGGTTTGCACACCTGCAGTGGTCAGGAGCTACTTCCAGCATGGTTGTTCTGGGTAGTGTTTGATGAGTAAGGGCTGGGATAAAACTCAGGCTTGCACAGTAGCCCTTGAACTGTCTCCAGTCCCAACAGAGGGACTTGACTTTTTACATGCATGACTGTGAAATACTAAAAATGTTTCTACAACTAGAAAAGGACCTACAGTTTAAGAAAAGTAGTAATTTTAAAACATAGAGCCCTAAGTCAGTAGGGTATTTTTAAAAAGTTTTGTGATTTTTTCAAAGATCGTTTAATATATTTTTAATTGAGTGCTAAGCCAAGCAAAACAATCAACAGAAAAGTGTTATGAGGAAATATTTGTCTTGGATTATTAAAGACATTTTTGTCCATGAGAAGAAATAAACAAGCCCACAGCATTAGTGATTATGCCTTGGGTAAGCATTTTAATTTGTATTTTATTCTTTGATTATGAAAGGAAATGTGAGAGTGAGCCAATACACTTCACAAATAGAGATAACATGTTCATTTATAAAAAGAAATCATTCACTATTTTAACTTATAAATGAGAAAATCTGTCATTTTAAATTATTTTCCTTTAACCATACTATAAAAGACATTGGAAGTTATTATAATTCTTCACTTGATTCTATAGTAAATATCAGAAGGTTTTATTGTCATAGAATTTTGCTACTGATAGTAACATTTATGTTGTTATTTACAGTTAATTCACTCATTTACTCAATCATTGTTTCAACAGGAAGCTTAAAACTCCTAAATTCCTTATATGATGTTAAATATTATTCAGAATAAACATGCTATAAATCACACACTTACTGTACCAATATTGCAATAGAGTGAGACAGACAAGTAAAAATGTACTAAGACATACAAAGTATACAAAATATGGTAAACGCCATAATATAAATTTGTATGTACAGAAGAAAAAAAGTTAACTTAAGTGATGTCTG